TTTGACTTGTGTTTTTCTGTATTTTCCTGCTCTGTCTTATTCCTTTTACTTGTACAGCACGTTGGTTAATGCTTGTTATTTCAAAATGTGAATACATTTACTTGACCTGATTTCCTAGGTAACTCATTATTTTATTTATATAGCATCAAATTACTACAATAGTCACTTCAAGGTGCTTTATAGTGTAAGGTAAAGACCCTACTATACTTCAGAGAAAACCACAACAATCAGACAACCCACTATGAGCAAGCACTCGGTGACAGTGGGAAGGAAAACGTCCAGCAGAACCAGCTGACGTGAGCAGTTGGTGAAGGGAGGGAAAGAGGACAAACGCTTCGGCTGGTCAGACAAAAACGAGCGAAAAACATTACCTTGCATTTTTTTTTTATAAATATATTTTTACCTTTTGCATTTAGTGCTCTGAAAAATCTATATGAGACTTATATAATGTATCACCACATAATACACTTTTGTTCTCACACTGCACAGAAACATCAAACAGCCACCAAGTGAAGCTCACACTGAAGCAAATGCCTGAATGAACAACACTTCCAACCTTCAAGCAGATGAGCTAAAACAAAGGAGGACACATGTCTGTCCTGTCAGCTAAGAACAGGAAACGGATCCAATAATTTTCTCGAGCTAAACAAAACCTGACAACAGAAGTTTAGGCACTGCCTGGTCTGCTGCTGTGACATTTGGATTGTAAGGTTACATCCATGTACGTAATTTGCATTGCAATAGCAAATTGGCCTGATTTTGGTGTAATTGTGTAACAACATTGTGTACCAAGAAGTACACAAGCTACTGAGCACACAAAGTGTTGAAAACATGACTTCACTGAGCTCGAATGGCATCCAAATTCTCCAAATCTAAATCCAGCACAGTACCTTTGTGATATTGTGGAATACGAAATGTGAAACATGGATGTACAGCCAAGAAATCTGGAGCAACTGTGTGAGCACACAATCGTGGGATGTCCCAAACTATGAGTTTTGTTTACTCTCAGTCTGTGCTGCTGCGGGTTGGCTCGTGGTCCCACATCTACCTCTCTTATATTAGCATCAAAAACATGTGATGAAGAGCTGGTCAGCTGATCCAGGACAAACTCCTTTTAGTTTCTTTTTTTTGGCTTGACTTCACTGTTTAAATGTATACATTTAGATGACACTCTCAGGGAAACAAAATATGACTGTTCAGTGGGCTCTAATCACCAAGTTATCAACATGCAATGTCCTCTCTGTCTGTACAATGCTGCCATCGTCTGGTGAGAAACATTCTGGTCAACTAACAGCTGCCTGCATGCTAATTAGTAGAAAGGGATGATTCCATGCAAACCAGATAACATTGGGGAAATGTTAAGGCTCTCTTATAACATACAGTGTGATCTGTAAGAAAACAGCAAAACACTCTGTGGGTTTCTTGTTATCAGTTAAACACTTTTATATTTCTCTGAAAGTAAAACATTTGAATTGAACATTGATTGAAAGGTTTTTACCTGCAGACCTGTCCTGTTGGACCAGTTCAAAGATAAGTATTCTTCTGGATTGATGTTAATAGTATGCACTAAAAACTTTTAAGACATTTTTTTGTAAGTTTCTGAGTTTAAGACCACTAAAGCATATCTCTGTGCAGATGCATTTTGCACCTTTTGCAACCACTAAGGATAACTGTCACATATCCTACCTTTAGTGTATAACAAACACCCAGTTTTCTATGTAACCATCTAACCTCCAATCAGGTAAGGTCAGGTGTTCATTTACAACCTAAACCTATTAGAAATACTTAGAATTATAAAATGAAACAAACGCTAAATGAAATTTTATTCAAATAAAATGAATGGCACATGTCCTTTTTTCATTTTAGAATTCAGAAGTTACAATTCAAATCAATATTAAGCAACCAACACCTTTGAAAAATGTGAACTTAAAATACAAATGGAGTAGCATTTTCAAGGAGAGGCAATCAGTCTTAACTGCAGCAGTCACCTGTCCATCAGCATCAACACACCATCAGAAAGCAACAACTCAAGGGTAATGGCAGACCAGCCCAGGAGCAGCAATGTGTTTAATGCCATAACTGGTGAGTTATAAGTGAGGAGGAGCCATCGTGGAAGGCCGGGGGATAGAAGAAGTTGTTGACATTCAGAAATCCTACCAGTGGCTGGACAAAGCTGGACTGAAAGAACGCACAGAGGCACAATTATGGCAGCACAGGAAGAAACTCAGTGCAAGATCCATAGAGGCAGGGGTCTATAACACCAGGTAAGACCCCAGGTGCAGAACCTGTACAGATGCCCCTCAGACAATCCAGCACATAACAGCAGAGTGCACGACGCTAGCAGGCAGGGCATACATGAAACAACATAAAAAAAGTGTAGTATAGTATACAGGAAGATCTGTGCCGAGTATGGCATGGAAGTCCCGAGGTCAAAATGGGAGGCGCCCCTTAGTGTGGTCCAGAATGACTGAGTTAAGATTCTGTGGGACTTCCAGATACAGATGATGACTAACCAGCCGGACATAGAAGAAGTAACATGAGAAGGTGGAGAAGTACCAAGAGCTGAAGAACTCGAGAAGATGTGGAGTTCGAAGGTAACCGTGGTCCCAGCGTTAATCGGAGCACTCGGTGCAGTGACCCTAAAGCTACGAGAGGGGCTCCAGCAGATCCCAGGAACAAAATCTGAGATCTCTGTCCAGAGGAGTAAAGTCGGAGCAGCAAAGATACTGTGCAGGACCCTTAAGCTCCCAGGCCTCTGGTACAGGACCCAAGC